AGGAAGTCAGTGGAGAAGTAGAAGACCAGGCCGAAGGTGATGGAGATGGGCAGCGCCGGCAGAGCCTTCTTAAAGATGGCCAACAGCAGCAGAGTCAGGCACAGACCCTGAGAGCACAGGTGAGTTACAGGTGTGTTAGAGGTGTGATACAGGTGTGATACAGGTATGTTAGAGGTGTGATACAGGTGAGTTACAGGTGTGTTAGAGGTGTTACAGGTGTTACAGGTGTGTTAGAGGTGTGATACAGGTGTGTTAGAGGTGTGATACAGGTGTGTTAGAGGTGTGATACAAGTATGTTAGAGGTGTGTTAGAGGTGTGTTACAGGTGTGTTAGAGGTGTGTTACAGGTGTGATACAGGTGCGTTACAGGTGTGTTAGGTGTGTTAGAGGTGCGATACAGGTGAGTTAGGGGTGTGTTAGAGGTGCGTTAGAGGTGAGTTAGAGGTGAATTACAGGTGTGTTAGAGGTGAGTTACAGGTGTGTTAAAGACACAGAAGAAGAAGAATCACAGGTACACATTAGATTACATCACATGGTAACATGAAGGAAGTTTGATATTCTGTTGTATAAAACTACAACTTACGATAAGAATAGCGACGAAGCAGGCTAGCGTTGTGTTCCAGTCTCCACCCGTCGCTGCAGCTTTTCCAACCAGAACGCTGTAGAAGATGAAGTCACCGAGACCGAGCTTCACTCCTCCTGCAGACATTAAACGCACCTTTAGTCTCCCACAGACATTAAATGCACCTTCCACCTCCCACAGACGCTGTGTTTTCCTACTCTGGTATTAAACCTTAAACTACGCAGTCAGCTGATTTAAACTCACGGTCTTCCTCCAGGTCGTCTTCTGGAAACGACCAGGACTGTCGGTTCTCAGGCTCCGCCCCCCTGCTGCTCTGCTCCGCCTCCTCGTCTGAAAAACAAAATGGCGACAGGAAGTGAGCCACCGGAATGAAAAGAAACTAATTGATTCATTTAATACATTAAAAAAGTTAATTTCAAGTTTCAATATTTATTCAGATATTTTACTTTATCATTGATTATTTATTTCACCTTTTCTTATATGCATCTTACAAAGTAAGTCATTTTACAGCTTATTTACTTTATTAATTAATTTGGCATTTAAAGACCAATTGTTCTGTGATGATGATGTTGTTATTACTCTTTATAAAGAAAATAGAAGTGGCCGATTCAATTAAACCACCAGTAAGTGATTCTATTATTTGTGACTAAATATGTAATGAGTTCTTAGTTTTTTGTTTTATTTAGAACGTGTTTTATAATTTGAACTTAGTAAATCAAATCTCATTTTTGAAGAGAATAAATGAAATGATCACTCCTGATCATGTCCATCATCACATCAAAATATTAAGAATTAAAAACACGAATATAAACTAGTGTCCATCAGGTTGATTCATCAGATCGTACAGGTGTTCATGATATTGTGTCCAGACGCTCATTTCCCATGATCCCTTGCAGTGAATAGCTGTTTGTGATGTCCGACCTGTTTCCTGTCTGGAGCACTGAGCGTCCGCCGGGCTCGCCATCCCCACCGTCCACATCATGGCAGCTGAACACCGACAGGTAAATCAACAGGTCAGAGACTCATCATGTGATCATAAAATCAACGTGAACGTCTGTGTTCACTTCTTCTTCTTTTAAAATGGACTCACAGGAGTAGATGAGGGCGGGGAAGATGGGCTCGTTGCGTTCCTGAGCCGTCTCCACCAACATCCTGAGAGGACCTTTAGGGGCCAGGACGGCCACCAGGTCTGCAACAACAATCACAACCAGAGCAATGCATGATGGGAGACTGAAGTATCCACGAAATGACAGTGTGAACATTCAGTTCTCTTGTGTTCATCAACCGCTCCTCACCGTAGACGGAGATGGCTCCCAGGATGACCCAGGCCGACCACTCGGGCAGGTACTTGATGAAGACGAGGGCCATGAGGGCGCTGATGAGGATCAGGTAGGCCTGCTGCAGCTGGAGGGGGCCCTTCCAGTGGATGCAGATCATCCCCACTGCCCCGAAGTTCCAGATGATCACGCCGACCGTCGGGTAGTCCACCGCCAGGTTGTACGTCTTGAACACTTCGCTAGGAATCGGAGGAAGACCACGATGATGCACCTGAACTCTTTAAACATGGTTCCTCAATGTGCAAAAAACCTTTTAGAACCTCAGCCACTCTGTCCCTGGTTGACCTGCAGGACTCACCCCAGATACATGAAGCTGAACCAGAAGAGCAGCATGAGGGAGGACAGGATGAGCCAACCGTGGATGAACTGATCGACACAAAAGCACCAGATCAGCAGCACGTTATGATCAGACTTTATGCAACATGACCACCAGATCCAGAGGACGCTACATGATGCTACATGAGGCTACATGATGCTACATGAGGCTACATGAGAATACATGACGCTACATGATGCTACATGAGGCTACATGAGGCTACATGATGCAACATGACCACCAGATCCAGAGAGGACGCTACATG